TGAATGTGGTGAAATAGAAGAGGATCTAATCGCCAGTCGCTGGCATCCCTCCAGTGACGTGAGAACCAGTCCGCGACTAAATTGTCGGGTCCTGGGAGATACTCGGCCTGAATAGACAGATTCCTGTCTAAGCAAAACTGATACAGATCCTTGGTGAGGTCTGACAGTAGTTTCGATTTGGACCCTCCGAGACGGTTTACATATCGTACTGCGGAGATGTTGTCCATCCGAAGTACCAGAGAGCAGTTGGAGGCTTCTTTGGCAAAGCTGCGGATCGCAAAGGATCCGGCAATGAGCTCGAGACAATTTATGTGAAGTGCTTGTTCCGACGGGGACCAGAGACCTCCTGTGTATGATTGGGCGCACGTAGCGCCCCAACCGAGTAGGCTGGCATCGGATTCCAGAATAAAATCTGGTTGAGATCCGAAAATCGCTTTCCCATTCCAGGCTTCCATATTGCGAAGCCACCAGTGAAGTTCGATGAGAACTTCGTCCGTTAGGGAAATGAATTGGTCGTAGGAGGTCGAGCGATGTAAATAGGAGGTTTTCAGCCGTTGCATTGCTCTGTAATGCAAGGGCCCTGGAAAAGTAGCCTGAATTGATGCAGACAGAAGACCCAGCACGTGTGCTAGGTCGCGGAGTCGAGGTCGCTGTGACTTGAGTAATTTTTGAATCTCTCGTTTTATGTTTTTGATTTTGGAGTAGGGTAATTGTAGAGTTGCTTGAACTGAATCTATTTGAAAACCCAAAAATTGGACTATTTGAGAAGGTACCAGGTCTGATTTCTGGTAATTTATGACAAAACCTAGGTTTTGAAGGAGGGCAGAGGTCATGTGTGTGTGTTTGCGAAGTAGTTGCTGATCTTGTGCCATGATCAGGATATCGTCCAAATATATAATTGAACGTATGCCCTGAGAACGAAGGAGCGCCATGACTGGTTTCATCAACTTGGTGAAACACCATGGAGCAGAACAAAGTCCAAAAGGGAGGCAGGTGAACTGCCAAATGTCGCCTTGCCAACGGAATTGGAGGAAGGCACGGTGACTTGGTGCTACAGGGACCGTCAGATAAGCATCTTTGAGGTCGAATCTGGAGAACCAGTCTCCCATGCAGAGCAAGTCCCTGAGAAGATGGATACCTTCCATCTTGAAATGACGGTATGTGATAAAGCGATTCAACGCCTTGAGGTTGATAATGGGACGATGGTCCCCCATTTTCTTCCGAACCAGAAATATATTCTTGAGGAAGGTGCAAGGGAAAGGCGAAGGTTCGATCGCCCCTTTGTGTAACAATTTTGTCAGTTCTGTGTTCAAGGTTAGAGTATCTGCTTTTGACATCCCTAAGGGTGTCGGGTGAGAATATTGAACTGGATGTGTGATAAAATCTATTTTGAAACCTGTGACTGTATGAAGGATCCAAAGATCCTGAGAAAGAAGTTTCCACTGTGGGAAAAAAAATGTTAATCGACCTGCGATTGATACAGTTTTTAAATAAGCAAGGTCCATTACCTGAAGCAGTGCGTCCGCGCAGGGATGCAGAGCCACGTCCTCGAATTGAGCCTCTGGTGCTGAACAGCTGCCTGTGGTAGGGTCGTGAGTATCCCGTGGACCAATACTCTGTGGGTCGGGGCCTGTAGCCTGAAAAGGCTGCTCTACTGGTAGCTCGGCCCCTTGAGCGACCAGCTCTCCCAGAAAAACGATTTTGAAAAGTGGGACGGAACACCCTACGTAGAGAGGACTGGGCTTTATTGAGTGTGGTAAAAACTGAGACATGTTTGGAGAGGTCTCGCATGAAACTGTTACCAAATAAAAGACCATCGGCCTCTGGGCCTAGTTCTTTAGTGCTCAAATCCACCAGTTTGGCATCGATTTTGTACAGTGCCACTTTGCGTCTCTCAATTGAAATAGCCGTATTGGCGTTGCCCAAAAGGCAAAGGGCTCTCTGTGCCCATTCTCTTATAATGTGCGGATCAAGTTCACCGCTGGTGAGTGCCTCATCTGCGAGTATGAATATTTGTATGATAGGACCTGAAATGTCCAATAATTTGTCTTGGGTTGCTTTCAAACCCTGTTCAATACCCTTACGAGGGTCTTTACCAGATTTCGTTAAATAGGTGACCAGCATGGGGTCAAATTCAGGGGTAGAGGCAACTTTGCCTGGAATAGTTGGTCTCGGGCATTCAGCCCTTAGTTTGTTTCTGATTTCTTTTTCGAGAGGCTTGCGAAGCCACAGTTTACAGAAATTAGCAATATGATCTGGGGGAGCCCATTCTGCTTAGCGCGGGTGGCGTATCACCCTTGGGTCAAAAAGGGGAAGGCCTGAAGCATCCAGGAGGGTGTCTGAGTCAGGTACCTTACTCTTGTGATCTTGACTTAGGAAGGTTTCTTTCACAAACTCCGATGTTGAGGAATCCTGGGGCACATTCACCATGGGATCCTCATCAGAGTAATTAGGGTCATAGTCACTTAGAATATGGCCAGATAAACGTGAAGTAGAACCCTCTAGAGGGTCTGTAGCATCCTGCGAAACGTAAGGCTTAGAGTGTTTAATGACCTTAGCAGGAGCTTTGCCCTTGCCCGCAGTAGCGCTATTCCCTTTCCAGGGTCTCTTGCGCGGGGCGTTATCTTGGTCGGAAATATGGGAGTCCTCAGAATCAGGGGGCTGTTGTGTAGAGGGGTGTACCTCTGGATTACGTTCATGGTAGGCTGCCAGAGCCTTAGGAATGGACTCTGCGATGGTTGAGAAAAGCCATTCCTTAAGTTCAGCAGAAATCGCAGGGTCTTGGCGATCTGACATAATGACAATTTCAAGATAAATGTAAACCCTATTAGAGTGTCAATTAAGGATGAGGCAACTCAATTAGAAAATATGAGGTGGGGGTCACCCACGAGACGTCAGAATCAATGGGGGTCACCCACAAATGCTTGGCACAATAAATTAGCAAATGACAAATAATGGGGGTCACCCAATAATACAGATTGTGAGTACTAGAAATCTTGTAAATTTAGTGAGGTGGGGTCACCACTATAAAATTACACTAGTAAAATATATAATGTATATATAATGCACAGTAAGTAATGGGGGTCACCCACAGAAAATAAATCAGGTGGTGTTAGCCACATAAATATTTACACAGCAGTGTTTTCAGTAGGTGGTGTCAGCCACACAAATATTGTACATAATATGTACTTTAGATAAGTAAGTGGGGTTCACCCACACGAGGGAAATAAAATGGTCAAACAGCAAAATTTGGTCAAAAAACAAAAACCACACTGTAATTATACAATTTAAAGAAAGGGCTTCACCCAGATAGTAATAAAATGGTCCTGTGTTGGGCAAAGCCTGTGGAGAAAAAACAGATAGGAGATAGATAAGAAAAAGATCGTTTTTAATGAGCTTGTGAAAAAGGTAAAGATATAAGGTGGCAGCAAACCTACCTTCCACAAACTATTAATAAGGTCTGTACCCATCTGATTGCAAAATTTGTGCGCCGCAGTGGAGGAGCCGTTGGCCGTTACTACTAAGGCTTAAGATGGCCGCCGCGAGAACGCCGCCGTAGAAAGGGCGGGAAAAAGGTCCACGTCAAAGAGGAGACGCCTTTGGTAGGCGGGAGGAAGGTAACGGCGGGAAACAGCAGCCGCGGACTCTGGGAAATGGAGTCCGCGGCTGAAGAGAGACAGAGAATGGGCCGCGGCTCTCCCTGAGAGAATAGAGCCGCGGCCAGCTGATTGAAAGCGGCAGGGTTTGAAAAAACCCTCCGTGCACTGGAACTAAAAGAGGAACCGGTTAGGACACCTAAATTTAAAGGAAAAACAATCAAAATAACAGAACAGTGAAATAAGAAAAAATACAAAATATGTGTGAGGAAAAAGAGGAAAATATTTAAAGGGAAAGGTGATTAAATTAAAAAATAAATTTTTAAGATGAATTCTGAGTATGCAGTAACAAGGTGTAAATAAAAAAATATCGAATTAACTTAAACCAGTAAGGCAATGTAATTGGAGCAGACTCACCTGGGAGGCAAGCAGCAAAGAAAGAGGAAGTGGGAGGAGTTTGATGACACTATATTGTAGTTGAGATATGTTATGATTGGTTGATTTTTCCATACAACATTGATAACCATTTCTTTGCTGCTGGGAGTTACAGTAAAGAAAGATAAGCAAATATGAAGCCTCCTGTCTTGCCATAAAATTATAAAATGGGGGCATTAGGCAGCAAATCATTTACATATGGAATATAACGGAGAAAAGAGGTGAGGAAGGCCCTACTCAAACAAGCTTACAATCTTTCAGACAGGTGTACTCCAATGGCTGATATGTAGGAAACTTAAATTCTCAATCATCCCTTGAAAAACATTTTCCTGGTTAGTGAAGGATAACCTTACACACTTCATCTGCCCCATCATGCTGCTGTAGTGCTGCCAATACCTTTTTACCAGTATAATCAGGTAGGGTAGCAGGTATGACAGGTGACTATGAGTCCTTATAGAATAGTATGCGAAACACAAACATAAAACAAAAAATAAATAAACAATGAGCAGCTTAAACAAATAAATAAAATAAAAAACATTTTTTGTTTTGTTTTGTTTTATCTTGTGTTGATTAATATAAACAATACTCACCCAATGTAGATTCCTTTGGGTCCACCTTTTGTCCTTATATATAAATTTGCATTAGCTCAGTAAAAGAAGGATGTGGGCTGTTTATTCACTACAACTTACTGGCCTCGTGTATTTTGGTTACAGTACTTTTTTTACATAGATTAAAAATTATATATTTGTCTATTTTTACATTTGAAATATACAACCACAAAGACATCCACGTGTCCCAAGGCAGAGCCATTTTCCTATGCAAATCACATTAAAAAAATGCCTTCTGAAGAAATGCTAATCATAGCATAACCTGTCTGCATTTATTGTTTGAAAATAGAAATTTGCAAAACAAAAATCGCATATCATACAAATCATGGAAATCTTCTACTTTGTGTTCATGGCACAGGTAATGCGAAAATCTATAGACTTAAGTTTCTCGTCTTTCATTTTGTTTCCCAGAGATAATGTGGTTAAGGTTGTGGTATATTATCAGCAACTGAACTATGAACTGATAGAAGAAGTTCCTTCTATGCAGGTAAGCTCCATAATGTCCCCAAAATAAAATCAAGTATCAGTGCCTTCTATCTACAAAGAAGTTCATTTCTCCTATGTATGTTTCATGTAAGTGTTACATCAAACATCTTTTTTATTCACCAATTAACTTCAGGATTTCTGTGAGGTTTTTATTTTTTTGTTTTATTATTTTGCAAATGTCTTGTTTTTTTTTTTGTTTTTTTTGTTTTTTACGAATTACAGTAGGGAATTCGTAAGTTTGCTTAAAATACACTGCTCAAAAAAATAAAGGGAACACAAAAAGAACACATCCTAGATCTGAATGAATTAAATATTCTTCTGAAATACTTTGTTCTTTACATAGTTGAATGTGCTGGCAACAAAATCACACAAAAATAAAAAAATGGAAATCAAGTTTTTCAACCCATGGAGGACTGGATTTGGAGTCACACTCAAAATTAAAGTGGAAAAACACACTACAGGCTGTGTAGTATTGCAAATGGGGTATGTCCAGTCTTTTTTAGTAGCCACTTAGTCACAAACACTGGCCAAAATTAGCATTCATAATAGTTTTTTTGCATGTTTAACACACAAACAAATATAAATGCTAACTTTGGCCAGTGTTTGTGACTAAGTGGCTACTAAAAAAGACTGGACATAGCCCATATTGAATACCCTGGGTTGACTACATTTCAAAAATATATGGTTTGATGGGGGTAAATTACATTGGCTGACTTCAGAAATGTCCCAAATAGGACATGGGTGCATGATGTGGAAATCCAGCTGTGGAAATTCCAAGTTGGAAACTGGAATGCGCACCCTCCAAATATGGTCTCTTAACCCCTAGAGAACCCGACACACCTATACATGGGTGGTATCACCGTACTCAGGAGATGTTGCCGAACACATATTGAAGTGTTCTTTGGCAGTAACCCTTAAAGTTCTCTGTACATGTATTCTTAAATTGCTATGTGTGTCAAAACAAATCAGCAATTATCATTTTTTTTTTATTTGGCATATATTGGTAGTAAAATGGTTGCATGAATAATCAAAATACCTTAGGTTGTCTTCTTTAAAAATATATATACATGTTATTCAGGGATTCCTGACAGATATCAGTGTTACAATGTAACTTGTAAAATGATGGTTTGGAAATAGCACAGTGCTACTTGTACTTATGGTCCTGTAACTTTCCAAAAAAGCTAAGAACTTGGGTGTTTTTTGGCAGTTTTATAGAAAATTATATGATATGATGAAAATAATGTTATCTTTAGAAAGACCATTTAATGGCGAGAAAAACTGTGTATAATATGTGTGGGTACAGTAAATGAGTAAGAGGAAAATTACAGCTAAACACAAACACCACAGAAATGTAAAAAGAGCCCTGGTCTTTAAAGGTAAGAAAATTGAAAAACGGTCTGGTTACTAAGGGGTTAAATGCATGTATGTTTTCATTGAGGGTATATCTAATAAATAGTGATTTAAATGTATTTATCTTTTAAGTGGAATGTCCCTTTAAGTTCCAGTAAGTACTAGTAATTATGCTCATGCAGTTATCTTTTTTTGTTCTTTTCTGCAGCTCGTAGACTTGTTTTCTAGCATCGGAGGTTTGGTCGGACTTTGGATTGGAGTCTCAGTCTGCACAGTGGCTGAGTTTTTTGAACTGATACTGAATCTTCTGACATTTTTTATTCGTCAAATTCCAAAAAGAGATGAAGAGTCACCTACAAACCCATATACAATTCCAGATCCTGATCCATGTTCTCCTGGACTTCAGTCAGATAACTGTTTTGCATGGGATGATGATGGTTCTAATCTTTTGGGGGACCAGTATAATATCATCCAAGGCATACACAATCCATACGAGTGTTACAATACATAACCAGAAACCATGAGACGCAGGAGGAGGTTAAGAGCAGGTGGATCTCTGGGGCACCCTAATCACAAGGAGCTACTGCAAGATGTTGGGAGATGTATGGAGTGTTAAGAAGCACATGGCAGATATTGTTTATTCAGTATTGAAAACATGTAACTGAAAAGTTCATTCAAACCACCAATATACAATAAATAAACTACACATTTAAAGAAATTGACCTACTGTTGGCAAATGATAATTACATTTACCGGTAATCCAAAAGCAATAGTGAATTAAGTGAAATTGTGTCTTGTTTGGGGAGAGAATGTGCTTGCTTTTCTAATCTACAAACAGATAAGTATGAAAGTAATGACAAATAAAAAAAAGTCAGTGTATGCTTTAAAATGAGAAACTTTGCTAAAAAAGGTTATTCATTAAAAGTCATCATAGCCAAACTGGAAAAAAATAATTAAAATCAGCTATTCTTTCCATTAATCTACTCTGGCCTTCAATTTAAAATTCATTTTGAACACTTATTTTAGTAAAAACCCTGCCACACACATACTCACAGCTCTCCCTTTCTCTTTTGTTTTGGAAGATACTACAGGTTTTTGGGCTTTAGCAATCACCAGATTCCATGTTTTTATAACGAGCTGGCACCAAGGTTCATAGGAACTACATGGCTGTTATGTACCGCTAAGGCAGTATGAAGCTCAATGTAGAAACTGTAATTCAGTTTCATCAATAATCTGTAGGTTAGAGCAGGTCAGAAATCAGACAAGTCTCACGTGTCATTTAGTGAAGAATATAGATTAAGGAACAGTGCGCACATAAAAACATATTTTAAAATTTTATAAGGCTACTTAATATCACCTATCTCAGGCAGCAAATATGGGTATTCCATTCCACATATGGCCATATCATGTGAAGCCCACCACTTTACGGCAGTACCATTGCTGAGAAATGCATGTACCCGGGTGTGCCCCAGATCCTCTTTTTATCATTTTAGGCAGGGCAAATAGCAGGAATGGGAAAATTCCTGAGCAGAAATTTAGTTCAAGCAGGTCTAAAACAGGCAAATTGGATAACTATTGGAGATAAAGCACACATTAAGTTGATGGTGTGTTTTAATGTGAGTTGTATAAATTTATGGGTAAATTAGTTTTCAATCATTCTGTTCTCTCAGCCTAACAAAGTGTTGTAGTGAAAGGACAGAAGAGTTTCACCTTGACTTGTACAGCCAGATTATTGAAGATCTATTGAGGGTATTTCCCCCCTAAGATGTAACATGTGAACATGTGTAAACTATTAAAAAAACAACTTCTCCTATTCAATGCAGAGCAGGTGTGACTCTAACAAAAATCTAAGTATTAACCCAGTGGTTCCCAAACTGAGTGCCGCGGCGCCCTGTGCACACAGGGGTGCCGCGGAATATTTCCCCGGTGCTATGACTATAGCACCGGGGAAACATTTCTGCTCAACAGGGACCCGGTCGAGTGCCGCATTCCTTTAAGACGGCCTGTCACTTCCTCCCAGCATCCTGCAGGGAGACAGCGCAGGAGGGAGAGGAGGCAGTCGCAGCATAAGGGGAGAGGAGCATGAAGAGCTCCAGACCCCTCATTCCTACAGCAGCAGTACTCCAAGCCACCCTCCTGGCACATAAAGTAAGCTAACAGGAGCGTGGCTGGAGATATTTTTGTGTATATATTTTTGTGTTGTGTGTGTGTATGTGTGTGTGTGTATGAGTGTTACGCTACTTGGGTGATTTGGATTGGAACTCAACTGCAGCTTGTAAAACTCCCTAATTACAATAGTGAAGAAACTGAGAATCTTTAAAGTATCAATACTGTAGCTTTAAGAAAAGAGAGAATCACTGGTAACTTGATTCAACCGAAGTTTTAATAAGTGTTAAACTTGCATTTAGGCAATAATCCAATAAGAAGAAGTGCAAGTAATCAACAACACAAAGTTCATTAATAAGTATTTCCTCAGAGATGCATTAAGTAACATTCTTTAGGTAAATGAGAATAATCTTCGATAGTAACTTTAAGCAAGTAGCTGAAAATATTTGCAGAGCAAGAACAGCTCATAGTGAATAAGCATGATGGGAGTTGTCCTCCATATAATTAGTAGCTTGGAGCACTGAGTGTATTTGCAAAGCAAGAAACAGTTCATAGTGAATAAGCATGATGGGAGTTGTCCTCCATATAATTAGTAGCTTGAAGCAGTGAATATTTGAGTAAGCAAGCATTAGTTCATTATTAAATGATATTGTAGACAAATAGCTAAACGATATACTTAAGGTTAATGTGAGTAGTTCTCCAATAGTTCAGAGGTATGGTCCACTTGTAAAGTAGCAAAGTATCCGTTCTCCAGTAATCCTCTATAGTATACTATTCTTAGCCCAGAAGGCTAGGACGACATCAGAGCTTCTAGAGCCGGGATGCATACTCGGAAGTAGGACCCACATTGCCAGAGCCTGTGGAGAGGTAAGTCTGGTGGAAGTAACTCCCAGTATCACCAAGCCCCCTCTCTCTGGCGCGGTCTCCCTAAATACCGTCAGAGCTGTGTCAGAGGGGGCGGGGTCCGGCTCCGCACAGCGGCGTGCCGAACCTGGAAGTGTTACCGCGTGACAATGAGTTTGAGTGTGTAAGTGTGAGTGTATGTGTATGAGTGTTTGTATGTGTGTGTGTATGAGTTTGAGTGTGTGTGTGTGAGTATGAGTGCTTGTATGTGTATGAGTGTGAGTATTTGTATGTGTATGAGTGTGATTGTTTGCATGTGTGTCAGGGTGTGCATCTGTGTGTATGTATATATATATATATATATATATATACATATATATATATATGATTATATTGAAGAAAGATGCACTCTCCGGTCTTTTTAAGAATATTAACGGTCTTTAATCCATCAAAGGTTTACAGGTTGTTTGATCAACGTTTCGACCCATTCGGGTCTTCCTCAGGATATATATATGTCATTGTGTATCTATGTGTGTATGTGTCGGTGTCTACATGAATTTGTGTGTATGTGTCGGTGTATTTATATGCATCTGTGTGGTAATGTGCAGAAATATCTGTGTAAGTATGTATGTATATGCGTACATCCAAGCAGTCAAACACCAGCACAGCATACAAGCACACTCCTGCAATCTAACACAAATATTACATACAAACATACAAGTGAACATTACATTCAGACACACCCCTGTATTAAAACACAATAACAATATACAAGCACCCTTTCAAACACCAACACTGTACATTACACTATAGCGCCAGTAAATGCAGCAGTGCTGTACAGATACACAACCTAGAAATTTTGACTTCGAGTGCCTTGGAAAAATACTGAAATATTAAGGGCGCCTTGAACCTAAAAAGTTTGGGAACCACTGTAGTAACCACTGAAAGTTCGATTAATATAATACGATTAATACACTATTTGGCTAACCATAATACCAATTTCTTTTTTCTTCATCTATTTTGTGAGATGTATGGGTCACCTCTCCAAGCCCCACGGATGAGTGAAAACAATCCCAATTTTGATCAGGTGAAAGAATGCAAATAGGTATCCAATCTTTTGATCCCCGGCCACACCCCTTCCGTCCAATACTGGGAAGGAGGACAAACTCCCATTACTAAATCAATTTTGGTAAAACTCCTCCTACTATTAGTCTTTTACAGATTTGAGTCAAGTCGATGAACTGCTTACTATAGATGCAATACGCTGATAAGTTTAACAGTTCCTAGACACAACTCAGTAAACACAATAAGAGTTCTAAAAACCTATGATTTTAAAACCTCTCATGAGAGAGAGAAAGAGAGAGAGAGAGAGAGAGAGAGAGAGTGTGTGTGTTGCATTGAGTGTATGTCTGGCAGTGTGCATATCTGTATATGTCTGGAAGTTTGTGTATTTGTCTGGCTCTGTGTGTGTGTGTGTGTGGTAATGCATATCTGTTTGTGTGTGTGTGTGCATATGTATTTGTGTAAATAGGAAATTCTGCTAAGGGAGCCAACGAGTTGATATGCAATTGGCTCCAAGAGTTCTGATGGCAGCCCTGGTATGTATAAATGTATCACATTGTATCACATTGTATTAACCAGAATTAGTGTCTGTAAATACAGTATGTTTCCCAGAAACCGTCTCCAGGTGGCCCCACGCCAGCTTTTGTTAATAAAATTGTACTCTAGAGAAGTCTGCACGATCAAATTGCAGAATTGCTATAGGTTATTCTAATCAAGCTTTGGTCATTTTGAGTTCACTCAGACATGTATCGAGAACTAGAAATATTCAGGACTAGCTAATCATGAGATTCCTTTTAATATTAAAAACATTGCATACATTCTATAGAGAGGATTCCATGACAAATATGGTAAAAACTGGTTCAAACAGCAGACATTATGGTAACCCTGGCCTGTTGGGGCTTAATTAGTCATGTGTATTTCACCATCTGTACTCAAGGCAGGGTTCCATCCACATGCCACACTAGTAAAATGGGTATTACTTCTGAGGCTTGGGTTTCATTAAATCAGTGTAAACTATAACGAAAAAACTGAGTTATACTACCTTGAAATTTTTTATTTTAAGATTGGAGTAAAATAACTTGACATTATGGGACAAATACAGTTATATCATGTTTTTCTTTTTAACATTAGCAAAGGTAATGGGGTGGGGATCTCTGATGTTTGTTTGACAGAGAGTAAGATGGTCAGGTATGCAGACTCATTAGAATAACATTGCAAACCGGGCGGCCTTTTTTAAATCAAAAGGAATCTCTCTTAGTTATCATATCTCAGGAATCACAAAGAAAGCAAACACACGTCCTGTTTATGAAAGTCACCCCCACAAGATCCTGATTCCCTACCTATACTGTATTGTACAACAGAGCCGTTCTTGGCTTGTGGCTTCGTGTTTGTATATTTTTGTCTGTGACTCCTCTCTGGAGAATGTAAAATACCTATTAATATTTATCTCACCATGTTCCCTTCTTTACCTCTCTGCACCAGTGGGTTAGAATGAAGGTGACAGGAGGTTGTCACCAGTCAAACCAAGACACTGTCACACAGTGAGCAGCATCTCAGCGTATAGCAAAGGCAGACAAGCTAAGAAGATACAATGACACACTCGACACTTAAAAACATGATCCATGGAATCTTGTTAGAGACCAAGTTTTACTTATTCTGATACAGCGAT